AAGTAAATACGATAGCTAGTAGGTATCAATATAATACAATATCTTATAATATATACATATCACATACCTATACATATTACATATATCATACATGAATATAATTTATAAATAATATCTATAATATATATTTATGGCGGCTATATCTATTTAGGCCATCTTTCAGGAATGTGTTCTGACAGTAACAACTTCAATTTACAAAGACAGTGACAAACAGTCCTGTAACCTTATGTATAGAAATAATTAACATAAACCACAAAAATTTGCATCCCAAACAACGGATCGGATTTAAATGCATTTAAAATTTAAATTGTTTTGATTTTTACGATTTCAGGTCAAAAGCAGTTACAAATGTAGACCATTTATATACAGAATATTTAAAATATAACGATATTATTCAAAGAACTATTTAATTATATATTTTGTAGAAAAGTAATTTTTCATTTTATGAATTGATTTTTTTTTTTTGTGATTCGCTAGGTACAAAGATGTTACCAGTCAACCAATTTTTTAAACTAATTTAAGTTAAATTATCCTAAAATAAAAATAACTTAGCAGCAATTACGCTCGACAAGCCCGTTGTTCTGTCGATTTTATGTTGATATTTTTGTTATGTGAGAAGTGTGTATTGCAATTATCTAGTTTATATTAACTATGTTACTTTTCAATTTCGAAAAACAATTCTGGGTGAAAGAAATCCTGTCAGCCTATAATATTACTTAATAATATTTAGTAAGTTTGATGATGTTATTGCGATTAAAATAATTTATTTTACTATTAAGCATTACTAATCATTTTTACCAAAATAAAATTTCATTTTAAAAGTTATTTTGTAATTATTTGCAACGCACACTTCTCACATTACCAAAATATCAACATAAAATATCCAGAACGATCGAGCTGATGTACCCACATAGTAAATTGTATTGGGCACACAAAATACACTCAATACCTACAAGACCGAAATCATTTTACAGTTAAAAATGATAACAGTTCGTATAATCTTTATACCTACAGTCTACAATATATTTTAGTTTCTCTATAAAGAAAAAATTAGTTGATTTGATACCCAGCGATTTCGTTATAAGGAAGTTCACTACAATATTATATCATAAAACATTTTTTATGAAAATTTGTAACAATTTATTACTCAAATGCATTTATATTTTTAATTTAATTTAACTTAGCTTTGTTTTTTTTTTTAGGATAACTTAATTAGTTAAAAAATTGGTTAACTGGCACGTCTTTGTACCTATCGATTCACAATAAAAAATCAAGCCATAAAATGGAAAATTACTTTTTTTACAAACTATACGATTATGTGCACAATTCTTTGAATAAAATCGTTAGTTCTAAAATATTCTGTTACATAAATCATCTATATTTTTTCCTTCTATCAACCACACAACCTTATAAATAAAAACAATTTACATTTTAAGTGCATTTAAATCATTACACTAAGCATCCAAAATGTAAGGTTAGTAATTAATTGTCCAAGAGTTCAACTTTGATACATAAATTAGCTTCATAAGTTCAGAACTATAAAAGCTAAAACGTTATAGAAATTTCAAGTTTAAATCTATCACAAGCTGTCGCGTCCCAGAATAATTATATCATAATCCTTTTTATTATTTAAAGCAGTATTATATTATATGTATATGTTATATAGGTATATTATACATATTTACAAATGTACATTGGTTTAAATTGTATTTTAGAAAGTAAAACCTTGCGCTTTATTGAACCAAAAACATACTCGCTTAGATTCTAAATAAATCGCTTCAGCAACCAGCTAGTTCACCATAAAATAATAGCATCTAAAAATATAGCTATGCCATAGTGAACTCAGTAAGTACTCAAAATAATTTCTAGCTAAGTAAATAAATTATTGAAACAAAATAAGTGTACTTTAATTCAATTCACTTAGAATTAATTTATGATATCACATCTTTGTAGTGTTTAAGATCCGATTTTTTTTTACTTGGCCGTTTTTTTACACGTATAGTTTGACGAAGTGTTTTTGTTGTGATATCACCAATTTTTCATAACAATCATTTTTGTTTTAATTTTTCATTTCAAGAATTATAATATAAACGCCTTTACCACCATGAAGCTATCTCTCTGTATTACTAATGAGGTCATTAAATCTAAATCAAAGATTTTATTATTTTTTTACGAAACTCTTTGTTTTTTGTAATAAGTGTACTTTAATTAAATTTACATAACATTTATTTATCTAGTTTTTTGGGGAAATTTATTTTATCAGTATGTTTGTTTTCTTTTATTCAGTAAGTACTTATATTAAAGTACTATAGTAATATATTACTATATTTAATTTAAGGTTAGGCACAAGGTTAACACAATAACACATTAGATACACCATACACATTACACACCAACGACGCGCGACACAACGAAGCGATGCTCCATCAAATATTAGAATATTATAGATAGGTAATATAGCACTATAGCGATGAACGAAATGAAACAAATAATAAAAACGTGAATACGAGATAGCAATAATGAAGTGCGTCTTAATTTTGTACTACGTACACGAAATGGAGAGGTAGAACCGGTCTGCACGACAACGCGAAATTCAGCCGTCTTGATTTCACATTTAAAAAGTTTGCATGTTTCCTTAAATAACATAATTTCTAACAGTACGATTTCGATGATTTTTGCAAAAGTATCATCTGCAATGGAGCACATACATTGATGCCATTGGACAGGGGGTGCTTATCACCCCCAGATTATTTGGAGTTAAAAATATTGTTTAGTGTAGTTGGTTATAATTTATTTTTCTTTATTTCTGATATTAATCAAATTATTGGTAAACGTATTCCTATATATCCACCTTCTACACACACTCATAGACCTCCAACCTGGCCAACCTACACCACTTCATTGCCGATTTTGCTTCGCTCACCAGTGACACGAGAACCATTAACCCTCAACTTCAGGAGAAGACATAGGTGAAAGGAGCATACACTTCGCACATCCCCACATTACATATAACCCCATATTGCACCCCATTACATTATATTCGATATTTCGGTATTGTCGGTATACTGTTTAAAAAAAAGACAGTATAAAGGTATATGGACCTCAAATCGGTATACCGGTATTACCATCACCCCTAGTGTACCTTTAATTATAATAGTATGTGTATACCGAGGTTGATAAGCTTTTAACATCGAATGAATGTTGTACTTTTAAATACTTAGGGCATCGCACACACAGGGCTCTAATGGTACCTATAAATGACCATCTAGACTCTAGAGGCTGGTGTTAGAAGGTAAAGTCCGACGACGGTCACTCGCTCGCCTAATAAACGGTATCCACTTGTTGAGGCATTTTTAGTTCAAATTTAACTTACTAGAGCTGGAGGTTATACTTATTTCAAGTTACATAATATAAATTATAATTAGTAAGCTGATGTAAGAGAATAAGGGCCAGTTGTACAGTCTGTGATTAAAGTTAATCACAGTTTAACCGGCCGAATTTGGCCGGTTAAATATCTGTTATCAGCTGATTAAGCATAATCGGAGTTTAATCACAGACTGTACAACTGGCCCTAAGAGATCAAAAAGTAAAGATTCATCCACGGATTATCTGAAGATAATAATTAATTTTTTCATATAATCCGTGGTTCACTAGTTAATATGTTAATTTCTATGTTTCTGCGGAATCTTGAACATTGGCCAAAATATAAAGTTTTTAAAACTATAACCTCAAATTGTGTAACCTGTAGTGCTCAAGAGTAAAATTTAAAATAAATCTGCCTCAGTAAGAGGACCACTGATAAAAACTAGTCGTCGGACCTTATCTTTTAAGACTGTCATCTAGAGTAAAATATCCTAACAACTAACAAATGGTAACAATATCTTGTCAGGAACCAATTGGAACATAGAAGCACAAGCACTAGAATCTGAAACAAGAACTTAAGTAGCAGTCTTGTAAAGTACTTGAGTAAAAGTATTCAATTACTTTTTAAGTACTCAAATACGTATTTTAAATACTTTTTAAAAAGTACCCACTGAAATAATGTATTTTATATACATTCTCAAATTGATGTATTTAAAATAAAATATTAATTTTCAAATATTTATTCACTTTAGTTTATATATTTTTTATTTTTGTTTAAATTTTAATGGGTAGTGAAAAAAATAAAATGAAGAGTCCATTTATTTAATTTTTTTTTTTTCATTATAAATTATACTAATTTGCAAAATTCTCATACTTAGACAAAAATCAGATGTGTATATTTTGATAGTTACATCCAGTATAAAATCAAAAAAAAATGATTAATTGATTCGTAAGTTAAAAATGTATTTATAAAAAAAATTGAAAGTATTTGAAAGTATCTATAAATACTTTTTAACCGTGTATTCAGATACATATTTTAAATTTATTTTCAAAATAACTATCTATATATGTACTTGAATACTTTTAAAAAGTATCTTTTACAAAACTGTAAGTTTGTATAGTGAGGTGGTGGGAGGTGTCATGAGTAATGTTATCAGTGGTTCCCAATAAAGCTCAATTAATGAACAAATATTTAATTTCACGTAACGAAGGATAAGTGCAGATTAATTAAAAATTGCCAGTTAATAATAGTTCATGATAAAACGACATCCTGAGTCATCTATCATTCCACAAATCAGTATATAAATAGTAAAAGAAAGTTCGTGTATAATATTATTATAATATTATTTATTTCTTAGCGTTTATGGTTTCTATGAAACAGACACATTTATTAAATATAATGATGGATAACAGTGGCAGAGCGAACTTTTTGAGTTTTTGGAGCAAATTGTACATTTTTAATATTTTTTCTACCAACCACCCCCTTTATTATTACATCAAAATGATAATTTACAATGTTGAAGCTATGAAGCAATTGCGTCAAATAGTATTTTATTCCCCCTCCACTGAAGGATAATATTTGATGAAGTGTGTGTTTACATTGGAATATGATTTAAATTGTATACTTCATATTATGAGAACTACGTCTTTAACACGAATTAAGACCAAATTATAAATATTATATTACATTATTTTGCCTTTTTTATATGGGTTAAATAAATTCTCATAGATCGCACCAGCTACGAATAAAGTAAAGTCGAAACAATCACTGGCCGTGCCACACACATACCAGCCACATCGATCGGTGTCCAGTCCAGTAAATTTTAGTCCATAACAATAATGCCGATAGCTGATAAAATAAATTGTTTATTGATAAGGAACGGTGTAACATCTGCGTAAATCTAATATCTCCTGCCGAAGTCAGTTTAATACATGAGTATATTTGACAGAAATTATTAATAACAAATAAGTACCTATTAGAAAATGAAAATCTGTAATTTAATGTCAAGCTTTTGACTTTAAGCCTTTTTTTAATTTTTTTTAAATAAAAACTTTAATTATGTCTCTTTTATTCAATGCTGGACAAAGAGTACTAACTTCTATAAGATACGTTTTGTCAAATCGTACAAATGCAGCAAAAACCATTATCTTTGGATTTTCAATCCTTGGTTTCATTGGATTTGAAGATAGTGAAACAGATAGTCAAGTAATCGATATAATTGAAAAAGGACTATTGTATTTAAAAGTAAGTAAACTTTTAACTTATTTAGTATATTTTATAGTATTTTCCTTTTTTTATCATGTGCCAATGTATACTACGGTTGATTAATTATTAATATAAAAATTCAAAAGTAAATAAATAATAATAAAATTAGGTGCTTATTCACAAAATATTTACTTTACAATGTTATAAGTATAATTATGTTAATTATGTCCCCACATAGTTGCTGCATGAAGTGAAGTTAATTGGATCACTGACTAGTAACTTCCACTAATCATTATGTGTCTCGCACAAAAATTGGTAATAAGTAATAACAATAGCATATCATAAAAAGGATATCACAATTATGATCGATTCTTGCACCTTATTCTTAACTTATGAAATGTATATAAATGCTTTAATGAGGGTATATTTTATCCACATTTACTCACATTTAACTGAATTTATTATGCCTACATACTGAATAACTAAAAATGTCAGCACTGGAAATTACTACAGTTAGTTCTTACCGATGATATAATTTGTCAATAGTATAAAATGTACATGAGCAATATTTTATCGCTTACAAATTTCTCTCTTGAACTTGGGTTACCCTCTTAGATACTTATCTATGCTCTGGGGTGTCTAGTATTCACTGTTTAACACTTTTGTAAGCACACAAAAATAAATAAATAACTATTTTGAAAACTAATAAATAATAATGTTTTAATATTGTTATGTATATTTTAGAATGATGATTATAATGCTTTTGAAAAAACATTACATAAGGCTCTCAAAATGGCCAATGATTTAAAAAATGTTGCTGGTATTACACATGTATATGATGTATTAGCAAATGGAGCATTTATGAATAAAGAATATGAAAAGGCGAAACATCTATTTATCAAAGTTATTAATCGGTTACTTGAGCAAGGAGGTCAATATTATGATCTTAATGTTCTATACACAAGTCTTAAGATTTCTAAAATTCATGAACTTCAAAAAGATTACAAGTAATTATTATATTATATTATTACATATATATTGCATTTTTTGTTTAATATTCCAAATGAAAGTACAAGTATCAATTTATTTATAATAAGCTTAATTGAATTTAGAAGTTATAGAATAGTAAAAAATATTTCATTGCTTGATAATTTATAAGTATAAATAGTAGGAGTTGTATCGTTCACACAAAGTCTCCTCTGCTGTCGGTTAAACAGGAAATAAAAAAAAAAGAAAACTATGTATAAATAATGAGTTGCTTATAAATTAATCTTTTTAATGGTCTATTAAAATTGTATGGACCAATCATGTTTAAATTAGGTAATGTATAAATAAATAATGTTCAAGGTGCTAATAGCTCTCTAGTTAAAATATTCAACAATTGATTCCGTAAATGTTAAGTAATTGTTTATATTAGACGCATAACCTACTTATATAATTGAATGCCACAGAACAACCAAAAGTATAATAAAAATAAAAGTGATATTTATGTAAAGTAGACATTTTTTTGTATTTTTTGACGGTTAAATGTAATAAAATTATATAAATAAACAAATGTTCATAAATATTTTAAATTTGCTTATGCATATTTAAATACTATACATTACTGTAACTAAGATTCCTCACTTTTTAATCATCGTTTTCAATCTTTTATGATTATGATGATTATGTATTGAGTGATGGTAGGTTGTACATGTTGTGTTTTTGAACTCAGTTGAGTCACTCACATTGGTATATTATACATTATACAAAATTCTAATGAGTTATAGTATAGTTATAATATTATTTATTTACTTATAGTAAATTAATTATTAATGTTTCTATTTTTAATATTATGATGTAAATTTGTTTCAGAAATTCTGAAAATGGTTATATATATTGTTCACAACATTTGGAAGACAAGATTAAAATGCATCCTGAAAACAAAGATGTTTTAGGTTTATATGCTTTGACATTCGACGCATTTGGTCGTTATTTAATGAACCGAGGACAATTTAAACATGCAATTTCTTATTTTAGAAAGGCATATAAAGCTAGTGTCAAGTTAAATGGAGAAATTTTTAAAATGAATGTAATTTTGTTGAATGAACTGGCAACCTTATGCTATGTTCAAGGAAAGTCAAATAAAGCAATTCAATACTTAAGAAAGGCAGAAGAAATTGGGCGACGTCTTCCTGGGATGGACAATTTTTCTATGATATACATAAATCTTGGTCACATCTACTTAGAACAAGGACTGTTAAAAGAAGCAGAAAAAAATTGTATGGAAGGAATGAAAAATGCTACAAGACATAATTATAACGAAGGCAAAAAAGAAGCAGAAATTTGTTTAGCTGAAATAAAAGATGCTATGAAGTGTAAGATTTAGTGAATTTATTTTTGTTTTATAGACCAATTTTTTAATAAGTACTTTATTTCTTTAAATCTTTAATTTTATTTTATTACTACAATTTGCTTAATTTTCTGTTGTATGTATGTTAAAATGGAGTTTTTGTGTACAGGAATAAAATTCTTAAGTTATACTTCTTAATTATTATTATTATTCATACTGGCTGATATTGAATTTCTGAATACGGTTTCTTTTTGGGTTATTTTAAGTTTAAGTGTGTTGTCATTAATTTTAAAGCATAGGAGTAATTTCCCTGATAGGTACTATAATGTAAAATATTAGTTTTAAATTATGTATTGTATCTATAAATACATTATCCATTTATAAAAGTAACATTTAACTACCAAAATTTCAACTTAATTTTTGAAACATATCTGCATATTGCTTAGTTTTATAAATAAGACACTGTGCTTTAATCTTAATTGCTTTAAAAATGTATGAGCATAATTAATATTATTCAAATTAAATAATTATAAGCCATTACATTTATTTGGAAAACTATTTAAAATAATTTTATTTTTGAAATAATACATTTTTATAAGAAATAATTTTAAAAGAATAATCTAATAATAACAATTGAATTCGCTCTTGGTTTTTGTATGAATGATTTGTGGATTCTAATGACTCAAAATAAACTACTTTATGCATAGAAAATATTATGATTTATTCCAAAGTAAAATACTTTAAAAATTATTAACCCTTCAATTTTTTTCGATTTTTTTTATCAGTTCAAATTTTTTAAACTAATTTATGATTGGTCTTATGATCTTGTAGTTTTGGCATATCAGTTCTGAAATCTTACGTAAGGATATATGGAGGTCTAGTTTTATTTAACCTTGTCAAAAGAGCTTCCAAAGAATTTAATGCCTGCCTCTTGTTGGTGTACAAACTCCAGTACCAGTGAGTGTAGAACAAATTACTGCTCCCCAATCAGGTAATGTGTAGTCAGGGTTGGGCAGTATCTTTGATACAATTGTATCTTGTATCTTATATCTTGTACAATTATATGAAGTATCGAGTATTTCTTAAAATAATTGTATCAAAAGATACTCTATACATTAATGCAATACTTTGAAAAATTAATTTTTAATGATTATTTTCATTCTTCCTCGCAGTAGTAGTAGTACATACCAATCATGACTGTTTCACTATGATTTGGTATATGTGTAAAAGGAGCGGAAATTTTAAATTTAGGTATACCATAATTTAATTGCAGTATTAATTAAATACGTAGTTACTAGTTACAGGTAATTTTTTGAAATCTGTAGCCTACAACTTTTATCAAATTATTTTTTTTACTTATTTATTTATTTTAGGTATTTAATAGCAGCTTGTGCTCTTCATGTTTTCCCAAAAATACTTAACCAGAAATAAATTATCAGACGTCACTTTTGAAAAATTACCTAGTATCTTTAAAATGGAACAAGACGTTATATTATATTATATTGTACTAAATACATTATACAATTATTAGTTTTCCAGACGTTATGTACAATATAAATTAAATTCAACCCTGACTAGTGACTGTTATAATACAATACACATTTTATCATATAAAATGTATAACCTATATATAACCTGCTAAAACTATCGGTATAGAACATAAATATAAATCAATACCAAGTAATTAGTTTGATAATTAGTAGTATTATACGCTATAGTTTTAAAATAATCAGTATTTACGGTTTTTATCAATATAATTATAATATAAGATTTAATATAATATTATGATACTAGTTTAATAATTACGTTATAACTTTTTGCCTATTTAGTTTATGAGTTATGACTATCTAAATAATTACGTACATGAATTATAATTAATTGTGTAGTAGAATATTATCATAAAGTTATTAAATATGTGGTCGTGGTCTATATTAACTAATTGATATATATATATACCTAATTGTGTATAAATAACATTTAAAAAAAAAACTTGTGACTAATTTTATTTCGAGTATCTAAATACTTAAAATATAAGTATCGAGCATCTAGTACCTCGACATTGATTTTTGAGTATCTTGCCCACCTCTTTGTGTAGTTCACCAAATGAATTGTTTAAATAACTAACAAGTGGTCTTAGTTTAATATACTGATCACAATAATTAGGGTTAGCTCTTGGTAACATTTTCATAGTTGTTGAAATGTAAAACTGCCCTAATTGCTTCAAACTTTTTTTGACTTAAAACATTGCGTTTAGGTGCAAAACCAAGATGTTTTCTCCACACTTTGCACGATGTCGCATATATGTAACAATCTAATAATGATCAATATATCAATAATACTTTATAGTCAGTCAATACAATTATTAAAATAGTAAAATACATAGGTACTTACTGTGAATAAAATTTTTTTTGCCATTTAAATTTGTTGAAAAACATTTTTAAAACGATCGATTACTTCGCCGATGTCAATGATATTGTTAGGTCCAAGTGAAAATCTGGAAGTTTTTAATCTGAACGGTACATATCTGGAATTTAATAATTAAAAATCCATAAAATTCTGGACGGTGCAAATCTGGACGGTACATATCTGGAATTTTATAATTAAAAGTCCATACAATTCTGGAACGTTATAGCCTAGACCAGCGTTTCTTAAACTTTTTTATCCGTGGAACCCTTTTTTATGTGCACTTTCACCGTGGACCCCCAACTTTTTTTAGCTTTTTTTTATTGAGCTCTTAAAAATAAACTATTACAGCTCGACAATTAGAACCGCTGCATTGTTTCAATACTTTCAATGCGTCATTTTATGTAAGGAATATTTGCAATAAAAGTTATAATTATGTGTCAACATTTAAAATTTTGAATAAAAACCACAAGTTTCGGGGAATCCTGAAGTGACCTCCGCGGAACCCTGGGGTTCCACGGAACACAGTTTAAGAAACGCTGGCCTAGACTGTACTGAAATGCGAGTCTGGGCAGTGGGTATTAACGGTTTAATAAGTTAAAGTTAAGTTACTTTTAACTAAGTTAATTAACAAATTAATTAGTAGCTTATAACCTAACGAGTTGCATTTTATCCTATGTTATTCAGTAAATTATGAGTTAATTAATTTTATTTTCACGTTAGATTATTTTTTTCCTAAGCCGCAGATTTAAAATTAGTTCAATTTTATAAAAAAAAATCTGAAATAATAAACATGTTAATTAGTAAAAAAATAAAGTTTACTTTTAACTTTAAACTTAACTTACATTTTCTATATTGACTTAACTTAAGGAGTTAAAAAAAATAGTTAACTTGCCCAAAGTTGCATATAAATTGCATAAATTTATATGGAATGTACATCAGGGCGATATTAATCTGGACAGTGACGCACCCGGACAAAAAAAAGAAAATATCCCTAGACTTACTATGCAACACCACTACAAGTAGGTAACCGTCCTGATTTCAAAATTGTATATTCCAGATTTATACATTCCAAGTTACGCTCACCCATCACTAATGTGATTTTGAATTACTCGGTAAAATACTAAAATCAATACTCTGCTGTCATTCAATTAAAATAATAGATAGTAGGTAAAACCGATAAAATGTTCCACATATATAATGATGTAATATCATAGCCAGCAAAACGAAAAAAAAATTTTTTTAAATTAATTATACCATCGACAACATGGGCCTACAGTGCAATAATTATAAATTACAGAAATTACAGAAATTACAGAAAAAAAGATTAAATTATATTTAAAATAAATACATTTTTTTATACAACAAACAATTGTTTTAATAAAATTAATATTAATATGAGACATCAACTATTAGTTTTATAATTTTAGTTCAAATAATATTTATCTATTTATCTATTAATTAAATCTTTATTTGTATTCATTAACTATTATTACCCTGCCATTATTTTGGATTTGTTTTGCTAATTAAGACGTATTAGTAACTAATGTGTAAGTAATTAGTATACTGTTATGAATTATTATGATATATAAGTATAGGTATATCAGTATTACACTGTTTTAATTTATAATGTGGTTCCATACCTGTTTGGCTGTCTATATTTTATTTTATATCATATAAAACTTTGAAGCTATACAACTAAGTAGGTAGTTAAGATTATACTATACTAATAATAATTATTAAGACCTGGAACTTTAAATAGCTATCCTCGTTTTTTACGTATAAGACCTTATTTGTTTTATTTCTTCACTCATCCGGAGACCGGACTCTATTATAAATTAATAGGCAATTACTCTCCTGCTTCTGGCCTGCTATAATATGAATATATAATTCATATTATGTCGTATTGGAACTTTTGAACTTTTCTCGTTTACCAAACACCTTTTTTTAAATTGATAATATTTTGAACTTTGCAATTTTTAAGTACCTAGAACAAGTACCTACTCCAAACGGCTCAGGTCATCAAACCCAGGAGGGTCAAAATAGTCTACCAACCTAAAGCTAAGAGGGCTAGAACACTATTGAACATAAAAAGTCTTTTTTTCGGGACAAGATTGAGCAAATTCTTCGGCGTATCAAAGGTAACCAAAATACCAAAGAAAACCTACACGATCGAGCATAAAAATCTCTGCAACGTTGCCATTTTTAATTTTTAATTATATTATGAAAAAATATTAATTTAAATAATTATAATAATACAAAATATAACCTGTCAAAAATAACATGATTTCATAGTCACTAAAATAGTAACATTTTTTAAATTTGTTTTATAATAAATAATAATGATAATAATAATAGTAATAATGATAATAATTCAAAATACGGTATGAATTAAAAAATATATAGTATAAAGATCTGTCTGATAATAATAATAATAATAAAATATTATTCATACTTTCTGATTATTTAAATTGATATACCTTGGTATCTGTTTCCAAGTTGGCTTAAATATATCAATAGAGGTGCCGTATATTTTCGACTTAAATATTGGTTTAAAGCTTTTATATTAAATTCTATTTTTTTAATGTCTGTAGTGGATTGTAATCTTAAAAGCTTATGTTGAATTGAATTATTCCCTAGTCAACGTTTCTGTTTGGGTTTCAAGCAATATCCTAACGATTTCATGGACATGAAGGAGAGGCTATTTTTTTCACTATTATCATTACTCAAACCATTTTGTTGAATACTTCTATTCCACGACTGAGTTCAATGAAGCAGACATCCGTATGGATCTT